GCCCTAAACACTGAGGATCCAAAGAAAAGCAAATGGCCCCTACCCTCAAGCAACTCACATTCTCCCCAGAATGAGCCTTGCAACCACTGGAATGGAAGTTCCTTGAGGTCAGGGGCTGTTTCATCTGGTCTTTGTCTTTCTTCAATTGTTCAAGGGGCAAGTTGCGAGCCCCACTTATCTCTGCCCCAGGAAGACCACATGTGAACTAGGTGGCCAGCCGAAATGCTTCAGTTTAGGAAGGACCCTGATGGGCCGCAGCACATGTACATATGTGTGTATGTATGTATGTATGTATGTATGTATGTATGTATGTATGTGTGTGTGTGCATATATGTATTCATTATGGAATCAACAGAATACTCCAATAGGATGTAAATTTTTCAGGACTAAGGGCTGCTTTTTAATTTTATATCTTCGTCTCCCCAAAGCCAGAACAGTGCCTAAAATACTCTGGGAAAATGCGTATTGGCTTAAACTGAATTCTAGCACTTCTAGAAGACAGTGTAGTGCCAGGGAAGGTCTGCTGAACTTGTTCATTGGCTGTGGAATCTTAGGACTATATATTACCTATGTGACCTTGGCCAAGTCATTTCACTTCTCTAGGATTCAGTTCCATCCTTTCAAGTAGGGATTACTTCATTCTTTTTCCATGTGCATCTCCAGGGCTTAGCATCATGAGACTGTCGGACTAGAATTCCTCTGAAATCCCTACCAGCTCTAGACCTCTGCTCCACATACTGACCCCTCTCACCTCTAGGCCCCCAAATCCCATAGAGGTTGCGTAGGCCAATGATACATGCCGTCCAGGCTCTCTGCCTTGAAAAAGAGGAGAATTGGAACCTCAATGCTTGGTTCAGAGATCAGGTGAGGAAGACAATGGATATCACCTCTTCCTGGATGCTCCCAGGGAGAAGCCCCAAGATGCCCCTTTGTAGCAGATGTTAAGGGTGTATAATCACAACTTGACTCCAGAGAGTTCTCTTCAAAGAGATTTCTCTTGCTTCCTCAGCCAGGAATTTAGAGACATGCAGATTCTCATCTCCACTCTGCCACTAAAGTAGCTGCACATCTTGGGTAATTCAGTCCCATGAGCACCACAGGGCACTACTACGTAATTCTCTGGAGGGACAAAAATCAAACAGTGTTTCTCCTCAAAGAGTTCACATTATACTGGGAAAGTCATTTTCCCTCTTCGAGACTCAGTTTCCACATCAATATAATGACAAGGTGGGACTAAATGTTTTCTAAGCTCCCTTCCAGAACCAAGATTCTTATTGAAATTTCAGGACAAAAGGTCCTGTAATGGACAGACAGTCAAACCTTAGAATCAGGAAGACCTGGGTCCAGCTGCTACCTCTGACACACATTGGCCATGTGACCATTGGGAACTTAACTTCTCAATCTAACTGACAACCAAGATTGTATGTGTCCTCATTCCTTACACCAATGAAATCACAGCTCTCTCTCTCCCAAAAAAAAGAGCCTCCTTCCTTCCCCGCATTAGATCGAGCTTATCATCCTGGCTGTCACTGAAACATGAATTGGAAGTACAAAGTAAGCAAGCAGACTGGTCCCTAACTAACTGCCTGGTCCACATCTATTCCTCCATCTCTCTTTAGAGTAGACCAGGTAACATCTCACTGAATTTTTAAATGTTTCTGGGGAACTTAGGAAAGGATGAGAAATAAGAAGGTGTGGAAAGTCTTTTCATTTCTACTTTCCCCAGTGAAAACCGTACTCACAGAAAAGCTACTTGGCTCACATACACCAAACCTTTGAACACCTATACAGTCTAGATCAATGGAACAAACCTAGGAAAAATAAAACAAATTTTAATACTGATGCATGTACAATTTTACATTTGGGTGAAAAAATCAACCACATGAGATAAGCCCAGCATCATAGAAACACACTAGACTTGTACTGGTGTTCAGCTCTCACCCTTATTAGCTGTGAGAACCTGAACACATCACCCTAATCTCAAAGAGCCTCAATTTCCTCACTTGTAAAAATAGGAATAATACATCACCAATCTCACAGGGTTATTGGGAGGAAGGTACTTTGTAAACCATCAAAGGCTATACAAGTGTCTGATGTCATCAGACAATAGTTGGTATAAAAAAAAAAGACCTAGGACTTTCAGTGAACTGCAATCTCAATGTGAGTGAGCAGTACAGCATGAGAGTTCAAGTGATCCTATGCAGCACAAACAGAAGCAGTCAGCCAACAAGCATTTACTAAGGACCTACTATGTGCACAGCACAGCCCTAAACACTGAGGATCCAAAGAAAAGCAAATGGCCCCTACCCTCAAGCAACTCACATTCTCCCCAGAATGAGCCTTGCAACCATTGGAATGGAAGTTCCTTGAGGTCAGGGGCTGTTTCATCTGGTCTTTGTCTTTCTTCAATTGTTCAAGGGGCAAGTTGCTAGCCCCACTTATCTCTGCCCCAGGCAGACCACATGTGAACTAGGTGGCCAGCCGAAATGCTTCAGTTTAGGAAGAGCCCTGATGGGCCGCAGCACATCCAGAAGGGGACGACCAGGGCCATGAGGGCACTCAGCTATTCTCTGCCAAGAGGATTAGTTGAAAAAAACTGAATATAGCTTAGTGAAGATAAGACTGCTGGAAGAAGCACCATGTGGAAGGAACTTGTATCGGCATCTATCTCTTGTTCAGCTCATCTCCAGAGCTAGGCACCATGGGTGGCTGGGGGTGGGGGGGAAGGGGAGATAGGTGTGGTTCCCTGAAAGGAAACATTTCCTTAAATAGGGAGCTGTCCAAAAACCCAAAATATGCTGCCAAGGGAAACGGAGAGCTTCCCTAGCACAGGATGTCTCTGACACCCACCAAAAGCAGGAGGCAGGGACTATTTCACTTTCGTCTCTGCATCTCCAGTGCTGAGCACATAGTAGGTACTGAATAAATGTTGCTGGTCGGTGGTATAATGGATCCTCATTCGAAGTCCCTCACCCCTGGGAGATGGACAGTTTTCCTAAAGGAGACAGCCAAAATAGCCCTCCTAGGACATCTGTAGCCCTCTCCTCCTTCCCCTCCAGATGGCCATCTAATTTGGAGGTGGTTTCAGAGGCTTCTCTACCACCCCTTCCAAAATGACATCCATCCAAACAGAATAGAGACGAGCAGGAATAGCTTCCAAAAGCTTACCCCTTCAAGTCCATACCCCCTGCTCAGATTTCCCTGATGGAGTCCAATTAAGCACTACCCATACCTGCCTCCTTTGAAGGCCATCCTTTCTAATGCTGCTGTACCCCAGAGACTCAGCATGCCCTTAGAGTAACAGCTAACCAGAGTGCCAGGCTGGGGAGGAGTGTGCCACGCCCCGTTTCTAGCCCTCGAATCACTAATGGTGCCCCTTGCAAAGGGGGACCTAAGCCCTCTTGTGAGCTTACCTCAGCCCCTGCCCTTCACACCTATCGAATTCACTTTCCAAAGGACAGTTTTAAAGTCCTTTAAAAGCTTGCCGTCCAGGAATCCCCAAGCAGCAAGATTAATTAAAGGTAAGAGCAGCCAAGCCCTGCTAGCTTCCCGGTGCACGCCTGAAGGGTAGCATTTCCCCGTCTGCTCTCCGGTCCCGCAGAGCAAGCAGGAGGGAGACCTGGGGCTGGTGCAAACCAATGGTTAAGTCCAACCGCTGATTCCCAAAGCCAACCAGGAAACTGACCGTGACAAGTAGGTGGGGCCCTCCTCTCGGCTGCCCGGATTGGCCATTTGGGGCTCCCCAGGAGGCCTCTCCCGGCCCACGTCAGTGGCAGGTGCGCTTGTCAGTCACCGGGGGAGCTGTCCATTCGCCCGAGGCTCAGGGAGCAAATGCCCCGCAAGCATCAAAGGGCTGTGCTAGTGGCCGCCCCAAAATCGATCCCCTCCTGGCCAGCGGCAAAAGGGAGACCGACCCTCCAGCTCTAATCTCCCCAGGAGGGGCCCCCATCCTCTTCAGTGGCCCCACCTGATCCCCCAGAGAGCCCCCCAAGAACCAAACTACCCCTCCAAAACGTACTCAGCATCGATCTGGATTCCTTGGCTTGGGTAACAAAGCGCCCACCAGGCCCTCCAGTCTGTAGGTTTCCCTTCTGTCCTATCCCGCCACCCACCCACCCCCCACCTCCAGGAAATCGGTCATTTGGCCGGCCCCAGAGCTTTCACTGGCAAGTACCGCCCTAGACCTACGGACCTTCCTGATCGCTGCTCCTAGCATGTCCGAGGCATTCAGGGGCCAAGCCTCTCCACTCGGTGTTGCTGCTTGCTTAGCCCCCAGCCCCTTGCCCACGCCCGAGCCGGACTCAGCCAGAAGGAGAAAAGGGGGAGGGGGAGGAAAAGGGAGGGGGAAAGCGGGGAGGGGGGGAAACGCCCGGAGGCAGAGAAGGATAGAGAGGCCAGGCAGCCGGCGTGGGGGGCTGTCCTGGGGGTGGGGGAGGGAGATACACCGCAGGCAGGGGCGCCAACAGACTGAGGAGAGAAGGGAGAGAGGGAGGGTCGGGCACTGATGGAACAGAGGAGGGATGGAGGGGAAAAAGGAAGGATGGAGAGGAGAAAGGAAGGATGCAGGGGGAAAGGAAGGATGAAAGAAGCAAAGAAGAGATGGAGGAAGCAAAGACGGAACAGAGGGAGAAAAAGGAGATGAAGAGGGGAAAGGAGAGATGGAGGGAGGAATGAAGGGATGGTGAAAGTGAAGGAGGAATGGAGGGACGGAGGGAGGGGCAGTCCGCCTAGAAGAAGGTGTGCACTTGTTCCAATCCCCTGCCGCCGCTTTCATAAATCAGTGCCGAGCCGCCACCCGCCCCCACCCCCACGCCCAAACGTGGCCGGCTTTCCAGCTGCCTTCTCCAGCCGGCGGGCCGGCAGCCCGCAAAAGCACTGCAGTGCCCCCCACCAGGAGCCCGAGCGACACCTGCGTGTCCCTTGGGAACCGGCCCGGTCCCCCCCACCTCCATGCCGCCGGCCCCCAACCCCCCGAGGGCCAGGAGGGCCGGGCTCCTCACCTGCCCCATCACTGCCGGCGTCGGGAGTCCCGCGTGCGTCCTGCGGGCATCGCGGCGCCCAGCCGCTGCCCAGGCACAGGGAGGAAGGGGCCAGGGGGCGAAGGCAGCCTGGGAGAACGCGGGGCAGGGCAGGGCAGGGCTGGGGCTGGCCAGGGGAGCGCGGGGCAGCTGGAGCTCGACTAGCGGGAGCGCCAGTGCCGTGCGGCGGCTGCAGAGCCGCGGGTGGGTGGGCGGGCGGGCAGGGGAGCCGTGGGGCGGGGCGCGGCGACGGGGCGGGGCACGGCACGGGCGCGGGCGCGAGAAGCTTCGGCTCCTCGCTGCCTCTGCTGCCGCCCGCCCGTCGAGCGGGCCGTCCAGCTGCGCGTCCGTCCGTCTGTCCCGCGCGGCTCACCCTGCCCGCGGCCGCTCGCTCCTTCACTCTGCCTGGCGAGCCCCTGACTCAACATTCCCAGCATTCCCGAGGAGCTGGGTGGTGTGGTGTGCTGCGCGTGTGTGCGTGTGTGTGCGCGCGTGTGTGCGTGTGTGTGTGTGTTTGTGTGTGTGTGCGCGCGCGCCTGTGTGCTGGGCCGCTCTCCGCGGGGGGCAGCAGAGAGCTCCCCATCCCTCACAGCGGAGAAGGGGCGGGGCCTCCTCTCCAGCCCCTCCCCTCCCACTCTTGGCTGGCCTGGGACTCCCCAGTACCCCCTGTGCAGGGCCTCATTCACCCACGCCCACCTCCAGCCAGCCCAGTCCGACCTTCCTCGCTCCGCCAAACCCTGGAGCTCTAGCGGTCATTCATTCATTCATTCGCTGACTCCCTCAGGGCCGGCAGCTCTCACTATTCCTCCAACAGCGTACACTGCCTCAGTAGGTCCCAGGAGTCCCTGGGCCCTGTGGGTGAGGGGGCCAGCTGCTGCTGCAGCAGCTCCCAGGGTATCCAACCCCTGTCTTTCCGAGAAAAGATGAGATGGAGGACCTAGGGGAAAAGCCCAGGACGTCCCGGGAGTGTGGAATAGCTGGGCCAGATGCTTTTCAGGCAGGGGGCTTCTCCCATCAGCTTCTCCTTGACTTTTAGAAAAGGGATGGAGGACACGGAGTGAAAAGCCAGTATGTCCCAGCCAGTTGGCATCTGGAATAACGGAGACCAGATGTTTACAGGCAGGGGCCTCCTCCCATCAGCTTGCCCCTCCTTACCATCGGTGTAAATTCATTTTCAGAGATGACCAGACCTAGATTTGGAATTTCTTTAGGCACCAGCAGATAAAGAGGAAAAGGAAACAGGAAAATGGATGAACACTCGATTTCAATGTGGAAACAGGTGAATGTGTGGAGCTTTGGGACTATTTTTCCTGAATATAGTTCCCACCCAACAAACGGAAACTCAGAGACAGTCAGGTAGCCGGGCATAATGGTCACTGAGCTGAGAGGAAGAAGATCTGCTAAGTCCCAGCTCTGAGACTTCCCAGCTTTGGGGCTTTGAAGGTCACCTTTCAGAGCCTCAGTTGTGTGCTGTATGAAAGGGAAATGAGCATACCAGCACAACCTACCTCCCAGGCTTGGTATGAGCATGCTAAAGAAAATATTCATACATATATATACATACATACACATACGTGTATATATTAAGTGACTTAGCAAATGTTAGCTAATAATATATTCAGAGGCAACACAGTGAAACTTGGATTCAAATCCCACCACTGATATTTACTAGTTGTATGACCATGTCACTTACCCTCAGTCTCAGTTTCTTCAACTATAAAATGAAAATAAATATACCTGTGGTGCTACCCTCACTGATAGAACTGGGCTGTTGTGAGGTTCAAATGGGAGAGGGTGTAAGGTTCAATTTAAATTATTTTAGGAAAGCAGGTATTGTGATTTGTGATTCTAAGAAAGGCGGGGAGGATGGTGGCAGGAATCTTTGTCTCCCTCCAAACTGGGTCTCTTGTTGGACTGCTGCAGAGTTGTTATAAGTAAAGGGCATTGCAAAATGAAGCAAATAAAAGAACGATAGGATTTTATCAATTCATTTCAATGAACAGTGATTAAGTGCCTACCAAGTTCTGGGCACTGTGCTAACATTACACTAAGGATACAAAAAGAGGCAGAAAAAACCAATCCCTGCCCTCCTCAAGGAGCTTACAATCTAATGAGTTGTTATCACCTTTCCTAAAAGACTGGGAATCACTGAGGAAGTATTAAATTGAAGATGTGATCTTGAAAGAAAAGAATGAATGGATGGATGGATGGATGGATGGATGGATGGATGGATGGATGGATGGATGGATGGATGGATGGATCTTTATTTGGTTGTGAGGAAGATATAAGAAACAAAACTATTGAAGATGTAAGTAGGACATGAGTGGAATAATGAGTCAACTAGCATAATAACAATGATGATAGCTAAAGAAGCAGCCCAGGTACGGATTGGGACTCCTTGGAATAAGGTAGACCTGCACTGAAGTCCTGTTTCTACCAGCTATGTGAACCTGGGTGAGTCACTTAATCTTAGTGTTCCAGGCAGCTCTCTCAGATTCTTTCAAAACCTATCTGATCTGTATCACTAGAGGGAGAGTCTCCACCAATGAAATTGAAGGTATACACACACACACACACACACACACACACACACCCCAATGCTAAAATATCTAGAGCTCTCTAAGCTTTATGAAGTGTTTTCCAGACATTGTCATACTTGATTCTTACCACAGCCCTATAACCAAAGTGCTTAAGTAATCCCCCTTTGGCACTTGAGGAAATTAAGTAAGATTAAGTGATTTATTCACCTTGAAAAGAGCTAAACCGGGGAAGGAGTCTGAAAGGTCAGAGAAGTCAAAGGAAGAGAAGCCCAGATAATTTTAGTTTATCCTGCCTAACTTTGTGGACTCTTTTACTTTTAATGTTTGGCTCTGGAGAGGCAGCATGGCATAGTGGTTAGAGCTAGCCTTGGAGTCCAGAAGACCTGGACATACCCTAACTCTGTCGTTCTGGGAAAGTCATTCAACCTGTCAGTGCCCCCAGGTAACTTTCTAACACTGTAAAATACAAAGCAAGTAATAATCTGCATATGTAAATGGTATTTCCTCAGCAGGAACTCCTCCTACCATTGAAATCACAGGTATGGTAAAAGGTATGTAGCACATACACTCACATGCACATAAGCACACACAGGCCCTCAGAAAGCTTCCTGGGGTTCAAGGAACTTTGTGGACCAACATCAACTCAAAGCTATATATAGTTCACTGAGCTCCTCCCAACGTGTTTTCTTCATTAAAGACAACCAGAGGCACATTAATTCAAAGCAAAAGAAATTTAATTAAACAGACTAGGGAAACAGCTTGACAAGAAATGTTACCTCATAAAATATATGGGTACATTCTCCTATGTTATGTAACCACAACACAAGTGAGAAAGAAAAAGGATAAGAAACATGCATGAACTCACATGGAGATGAATATTTATAGGAAACATGTATGATCTGATCATGTGCTATTGTGTCCCTAATGAGCTGCTGCTGCCCTCTGCTGCCTTCTGGGTGCAGCTATCTCTTTGAATTGCTGTTACAGCTGCTGAGGTCTTTAGGCTGAAAAGTTCATGGTCTTAAACTATTTTAGCTCTTTTGAGATTCTGTTACCAGCCGGCCACACCCAGCCAGCTGCCTAGAAAAGCTCCCAGATAGTTAAGTATTTTGAAATGTTTTTCTCCTACTGATACTTAGTACCCTCTTGTTCTAAATTCGTATTTGATTGAGTGAGAAAATTCATTTCAATGCTTTTTCATTCCAATTTTCCATTCATGATCCAGGCTAATCACAAAGACTAGTTAGAAATGACTGAAAAAAGCTGGTAATCTTTGTGCTACATGTGTCCTCCCACACATACACCTCCAGCAATGAGTTTATTGTACTTGATTTAAAACATTTCCATGTCTCTTACTTCTATAGCTTCCTTACCTCTACCTTCTCTTAGTATTTCACTGATAAATCATGGCTTCTCAGAGTCATGACTTGTGGTTAGTGGTTTTAAGTGGCTTTAAGAAGTGAAGCCAGAGTGGTGTCATTCTGGTTCTCATACTTGTGCGTGTGAGTGCCAGCTCAGTTAAATAGTCTTGTTAGAAAGATAACTATAAGCAAACATTATAGCCATCAGATCAGAGGCAACACCTCTTGCCTAGACTATTGTACTAGCCTCTTAACTGGACTCTTTTCTTTTAGCCTCTCTCCTCTCCAATCCATTCTCCACTGGCTGCCAAAATCACCACAGAAATCACAGGATCAAAAATCTTCTATTGTCTTTAAGATAAAATACAAATTCATCCTGGCATCTAGTTTTCCACCTATTGCTCCTAATTCTGCCCCCCAAGACCAAGGAGAAAATACCGATCCCACTTATAAAAAATTAAAACAACCCCAAAAAAAGCCTTCCAAACACTTGAAATTCAATATCCTATGCCCCCTTAAGTCTTCTCTTCTCCAGGCTAACCCCAGGTCCTTCAACCAATCATCGTATGGTATGACCTCAAGTCATTTCACTATCTTAATTGCCTTCTGAGCCTTCTCCACGTTATCAACGTCTTTTCCTCCACTCTAGGGCCCAGGACTGAACCCAGAATATTTGTTCCTGCTTAGTAGCTGTGTGACTCAAGGTGAGTCATCTAACTTTTCCAGCCTGTTTCCTCATCTATAAATTGAATATAATGAAACTTGCACTCCCAACCTCAAAGGTTTGTTGTGAAGAAAGTGCTTTCTAACTCTTACAATGCTGTGTAAAGGTTATCATTATTATTGCATAAATGACTGCATTTCATTCTTCATTCCTCCTTCATTCTTCCTTCCCCCTCCCTCCCTCATCATTTAAAGGTGCCTCATTAGCACATCCTAAATTCCATTTAAAGCTATTAAAATTAGGAGTGTCTTTGCAGTCCCCTTTGTAAAGTAGCCATCTCGATGGAGAAAGAGGTCATGACTCCATGGAAACTCCAGGGAAGAGACTTACCACAGATGGATGCTCTCACAATTGAAAACCCCACGTGCTCCCTCACTCCCAGTGGTTTCATCCATGCCCTTGGTGCTCCTGTCCCCCTGCCAAACAGAGCCATATGTTGGCATGAGGATACCAGGTTCCTTTTAAATGAGAATGAGAAGCTGATAGGGCCCTAAGTATTGGAGAGATAGAAGGCAAAGCATCCCCTTGAATACAGGCTGCCTCCTAATTCTCTTCCTCAATTCTGAACCTC